TGTAAACAGAAGAAACCTAGGACAGTAAAAGCATTTCTGGGCAACAAAGGCAAGGCAGGAGGCATCTCAATTCCTGACTTGACACTATACTACAAAGCCACAGTGATAAAATCAGCATTGTACAGGCAAAGAAATAGACCTGAAGGATCAATGGAACAGATTAGAAGATGCAAACACAACTGCAAAGACACTGAGCCACCTGGTATTTGACAAAAGGTCTAAACATGTTTACTGGAAGAAGGATAATCTCTTTAATAAATGGTGTTGGAAAAATTGGCATCACATGTTGAAGACTGAAAATAGGCCGATGCCTATTACCATAAACTAAACTAAAGGATCTAAATATTAAAACAGAAACACTAAATCTACTGGAAGACAAAGTAGGTACAAGTCTTGGAGGCATAGGTGTAGGCAGAGAATTCAAGAACAAGACACAAACTGCATGGGAAACACTTCAAAAAAATCAACAACTGGGATCTCATATTATTGAAAAGTTTCTGCATTTCAAAAGGAATCACCAACAGTGTGAAAAGAAAACCCACAGAATGGGAAAGAATTTTAGCCAGCAGTCCCTCAGAACAGGACTTACATCCATAACATATAAAGAACTGAAAAACATCAAGTCCCCCAAAGTCAAAGATCCTCTCCAAAAATGGGCATCTGAGATGAACACACAGTTCTCAGATGGAGATATACAAATGGCAAATAAATACTTGAGGAAATTTTCACCATCACTGGTCACTTGAGAAATGCAAATTAAAACAGCATTGAGATTTCATCTCACTCTGGAAAGAATAGCTGCCATCAAGAAAACAACTGATAATAAATGTTGGCGAGGCTGCAGGGAAAAAGGACCACTGCTCCACTGTTGGTGGGAGTGTAGATTGGTGCAGCCACTATGGAAATCACTATGAAGATTTCTCAGAAGACTAGGACTGGAAGTTCCATTCAACCCAGCTAGTCCCCTCTTGGGTATTTTCCCAGAAAACCTGAAAAGGTCGTGTCACAGTGATGTATGTGCACCCATGTTCATAGAAGCACAATCTGTAATAGCTAAATCTTGGAAGCAACCAAAATGCCCATCAATTGCAGAGTGTATGAAAAAAGATGTGGTATTTTTATACAATGGAATATTACTCAGCCATAAAAAGGATGATCTTGAGGCCTTCACAGTTAAATGGAGGCAATTTGAGACTATCCTCATAAGTGAAATAAGTAAGAATCATATTTATAAATATCACAATGTATCTCTAGTGTAAAAATTAATAAGAACTGTAGGAGTAATAAAACCCCAAATGTGTAATTGCTATTGTAAAAAAGAGAGGAAAAGAAAGTGCTCTAGAGGATATAACTGCATGTATGTTTAAGTGTGTAGGAAGATGACCACATCACTAAATTTTTATTGGATCATTGAGCAGAACTGTTTGCAGTCTCACTGTTTGAATGTCCACTTTATATGCTTTAATTTTGTAATTTGAACAACTATTTCTAAGATGACAGTATGTAATTTTTCAACTAGTGATTTCTTACTGTTTATTTTTTTGAAATTGTGTATTATTACTGCTGTTTTCTGTTTCACTTTTTTTCTCTTTAAATAATGTAAACAAACAAACAAAAAACTACCCACAGAAAAGCTCAAGACCAGAAGGCTTCATTTTGGTGAATTCTCCCAAATCCTTAAAGAAGGATTAACACAAATTCTTCACAAAACACAAATAAAACAAATACTCCCTAACTCATTCTATAAGGCTATTATTACTCCCTAATACCAATATCAGACAAGATTTTACAAGGAAAGGAAATTACAGACAATGCCTCTCAAGACTATGAATACAATACTCCTCTATAAGACACTAGCAAATGGAATCCAGAAACATACAAAAATGATTATATATCACAAGCATGCAGGATTTATCCTAGAAATGCAAAAAAATATGAGACACATAAGAAAAGCAATAAACAATCACACTCTCAGGGAAATTCTGGTGTGCAGACCAGACGGCAGCACACCTATGGCAAGTGTTGCCTTACTCAGTTTTGGGTCTACTGAACAAGATGGCGTGAAGGTAAAATAGCTGAGGGTCACAGTTTGCCTTTTAGGAGGACCAGAGGGATCTTGCCTGTGTAAGGACAGAGATATCCTCCTGACATAGGGATTGAGCTACAAAGACAAGAGGGTAACAGATGGTTCAGATCTGGAAGAAGCTTTATATACAGCCAGGTCCTCTTTTGCAGAAGGACACCGAGGACCAGAGAAAGAGTGACTTGATACTTGGAGCCTGGATTCCATCCCTGGCTCTTGCCCTCACTTCAATAATGTCCATGTTGTCCAGTTGTTCAGAGAGAATACAACTTCTCTGGCTGATCTTCCCACCCACAGACGTTAGAAAGATGATAGCAATTAACACTTGTCTAGAATTTATCTTCTGATAGGCAAGGCTTGAATGAAGTGCTAACTCACTTATTTCTCAGGGAAGCCCTACTAGGCAAGGACGTCAATGTTCTCATTTTATGGATGAAAACACTGAGGCAAAAAGAGGTTTGAAATTTGTCAGTGCCATTCATTTAGGAAGTGGCAGCAGTCTGGTTTATGTACTAATAGTCCCTGTCTCCTTTTTTCCTTTTTAGGAGAGTGCTAACTAAGGCAGGCACTGTAGAGCTGACTGCTGGTTGATTCTATCATGCTCCATGTGGAATGCATGTCTCTGTACACTTTTTGTCACTAGCTGGGACATTCAGGGTTGGGGATCTGATTCTACAGTGCTGTGCTATTACTGAATCTGGAGCACTGCTCATAGGTGTACAGTTCCCAGGATGTTCAGATTTCTAAAAAGTTTGTCTCTGACAAGAAGAAGGTAGACCTTGGGGCTCACTGACAGAAGGCTTCTTTTTTGGGGTCCATGGACTTTAGGGACAGACCCTGATCCTGACATTACATTCAAATGACGTATGCCACAGTTTCCAGGGGAGCAGATTTCAAGTCTCACTGTCTGGCATGGCTGCTGTGCTGGACCTGGCCTTACTTGTGCTGTTCTACCCATGGAGCTTTCCAAGCTTGTTCCTAGAAGCTCCTCAGGGAAACCTGAGGACAGGAAGCTCCTGTCTTCTGAGGGTGCTGTGCTCAGGTGTGCACTTGTGGGGTGGAGTCTGAGTGCACTGTCAGTCTGGACGGGTGTCCCAGAGCTGTATTTAAGGACACATGATGCCTTTGGCCCCTAGGTCAGCTCTGATGAGGCTCCACGTCAGAGTCCAGGGCACTTCCCCAGCCCCCTTCTCTTTTCTGCCTGGCATTCTGCCACTGTGAATGTCACACCCGACTCCCTCCCTTGTGGCCCACATCTATCCTCATCTCCAGATGCAGTGGGGAACAGAGGTCAAGGAGTCTGGATTTTCATTTCTTCGTCTTCATGCTTCCTGAAAAAGCATTCGTGCAATAGGTGAGCAGATGCCTTAAAACAGAACTATACAATGAATGGCAATGAACTGAGAGATTGGCAGCCATGGCTGGCTCACTATCACAAGCTGTCTGTCTCCTTGCATTCACAAGGTCCTCGGTACAGTGTGATGGTATTCAAGCCCTGGGCCACCAGGCAGCTGTAGGCTGGACTCCAGAATTTGGGGAACTGTTGGTCTAAGGCCTTCCGTGTGCAGCCACATATAGCTGAGGGGGATTTTGAGTGAGCAATAATGTCTCACTGTTGGTTTAGGTTAAATGGGATATAGACCATCAAACACCTTGAACATAGTTGGTGCTCAGCAGATCCTGTTCCCTTTCCTGTGCGTCTGTCTCTCATTCTCATTTTCTTCCTGTAAAACTGTGGGGGGGGCAGTGATCTTCATGTCACCTGTGTCATGAAGGCATATACATACAGAACGAGCAGTTCCATGGTCACTCATGGAGGGGAGTGACAAAGACTGTGATGCATACATACTTGTTTCTAAGGAGATTCAGTATTAGCAAAGTGAAGCAAAGCACCACAAGATACAAGCACTAGCAGCGAATGAGCCCCAGCATCTTTCTGCTGGGGTCTGGAGCCAGGAGAGTGATTGGAAATGAAAGCCTTTCCTCAGTTCCAGCTGTTATAGACCTCCTGGAGGTTGCCGACCTTCACCTAGCAGTTTTCTTACACAGAATCAAGGTGCTCCAAGGAGCTGCCACCCCTAGTCTGCCCCTAAGTCAGTTCCTTGATCTACACTGCATGGAAGCTGCTTGGCTGATTCGCATCCACATACAACATCAGTGCTGCGGGTTGGGGCACAGGACTGGCTCCTTTGCAGAAATGGGGAATTTGTTTAGCAAAATCAAGAGAGCTGATGCCTTCCAGACACCTGAGGAATTTAAGGCACTGAGAGTCAGAAGCTGGCATGCTGTGAATGCAGGTGTCCCTGGAAAGATTTCTGTCTCCTACCCCACCTCCCTTGCAAAAAGCAAAGCCCATTCCTTGTTGCAGTATGTACACTGTATGAACACAAAGGCAGTTTTTGCTGTGGATGAAGGAGCACGTGGCTGGGTTATTTACACTAAGGGACCTAAGATTTGGGGAGAAAGGAGGCCAACTTGTAGGGTGGTACTGTCCACTATACATTTATCAAGTGTGTGTGTGGGGAGGGCGGGGTGGTGGCAGTCAGTACCAATCAGTAAAATTGGGGCCAGAGACAGCACAGGAAATAATATCAGGCAACCTGGCCCTGGAAGGATGGTTGAGTCCTGTCCCTCAGTGACACTTTGATTCCCACCAGTGTGCCACATGCTGTGAAGCAGAGGTCCCATGGAAGTGCCTTCCTGACACGACCTGACCCACCCAGGCTCGGTGGCCTGGCTCTTCACTGGACATTGCCTCGGTCTGCCTTCTCACTTTCCTCAGGCAAGCCTGTTAAGTCACAGAGGAGTCCCAGCCGATCCTCACATTTAGATGCACGAGTCGTTACTGGGTTAGTGAATATGTAAGTGAAAGAGAAGCGCTCACAGGGAGTAGCAGCCTGGCACAAGACGCCCTTACCATGTCACTCTGTGACTGCATGGCCCCGTACATGGTGATCCCATTGGAGGGTGCTGCTGGCTGTGGGGTGTCAGGCTGGATGTACCCTCTTCTGTCAATCAGGCTGTGGGTGAGAAGAAGGGAGGAGAGAGTGAAGAGAAAAACAAACAAACCAAAGATGACAGTGATGTGATTTAAATGTCCAGGTCTAGGTTTCCTCTTTTTGTGATGAACCCATTTCTGGTATCTTAGAATGCACCTTACTCGTTTCCACATAAAACCAGTGACCACATTCTGTCACTCCTCCTTTAAAAGGCCAGCAGCACTGGTTGCCTCCTCACCAGGCTAAAGATTTGTCACCTGCTGAAGTCCCTGCATCTCCCTTCTGTCTCCCATTGGTTGATCTTGCCTTACACAGCCACAATTTGTCCTTGGCTTTCCCCTCCAGCCTTAAGTCTAATCTTTTCTGTACTCTCATTCAGCAAACATGTTCCGAGCAACTGCCAAGTGCCAATGCTCGTGTGAGACCAGAGCCCAGCTACTCCTTGCAGGTGCTCTGCACTTTGTCATCTCTGTTTTGGTTTAAGTCTTTTTTTTTTTTTTTCCGGTTAAAAGTCATGTTCTGTCCCACTCCACTGACCACTGGTGTTGGTTTGAAGAAGAACATTATTGGTTGAATTATGCAAAAAGACATGTTGAAGCCTCAACTCCAGTGTTTCTGAATATGAACTTATATAGAAATAAGATGTTTGCAGATGCATCTGAGGTCCTACTTGACTGGAGCAGCCTGAATCCAATGTGACTGGTGTCCTTATAAGAAAAGACACATGGAAGACAATGCTATGTGAAGGAACAGGGACACACGAGGAAGAGCCCATGTGACAAACAGGCAGATGGGAATGATGCATCTGTAAGTCAAGGAAGGTGGGGAATGCCAAACAGCAGGAGAGAAGGAAAGGCCCTCTTTCCTGTTTCAAAAGGACCCTTGCTTCACTAACACCTCGAATGCAGACTTCTGGTCTCCAGCCCTGAGAGAACATATTTCTGTTGTTTTGAGTCCTAATTCTCTCCCACAATTTCTGACATTTTATTATAGTGCCCTCAGAAGAGACTAACGGACTCAGCCCAAGAAAGTACAGAGGCCTATGCAGGGCAGAGGGCTTCAGGCAAGGGTGAGAGGGCAGGAGTGAGTGGCCACCAGGAACACAAGCCTGTCCTGTGTCAGGAAAGCTACAAGTGGAGGTTCTCAGAAGAGCCCCCAGGCAAGAACCAGCCAGCCTCAGACTCTCAGCTTAGAGAGCACTGACATGCTAAGTACCAGTCCCTAAGACTGGCTTCCCCTGCCCCTGGAGGAGTGCCCTCCTCACTACTGGGGGACTGGAAGAGTGAGACTAACTATGAGGGCAGTACTCAAGGGGAGCGGGGACCCCGTGGCTCCAAATGGGGTAAGTGAAGGGGTGGAAAGTACTCACTGTACTTCCAGTGAACTCGGGTTGGGGGTAATTATTTTCAGGGTGTTTCATTCGGGGGCAAAAAAGAACTAGGTCACCAAGACATTTTGCAAGGACAGCAGGGAGTCTCAGCCCTCTCATCTCACCTCTCTCTTGTTCCTGCTCCTCCTTGCTCCCTTCACCCTTGCAAGTGAAATTATCTGTTCTTCTTTCCTTCACCAGGGGCCTTTGCACATGCCATTCCCTCTGTCAAAATGCTCCTCCTCCAATTCCTAATGATCCTTTAGGATGTAGGTCAACGTTGGTCTCTCTCCCAGGCATGGAACTATCACTGTGCCACTGCCTTAGTGATTGTCCATGTGGCCCATGAGATGGCACCGCTCCTGGGTACCCAGCACTGAACACAGCATGTGCCCAAGAAGCAGTAGCCAAAGGAGTTCTTATTACTGGTTTGACCCACGTCAACAGGCCCTAGTAGGGCTCCACACCGGTTCCTGGGACTTTCTTTTTTCTAGTTTTCGGTTCCTCCTGCTGGACTCACGTGAGGACTCTCCTTCTCCAAACCTAGCCGTCCTAAGGGACTGCCACACATCTTCATGACAGTGTGTAGGTGTCAGGATGTGGGTCTTTATGTCCTGGCACACAGGCTGTCAACGTGACACAGAAACACACACTTGCTCACAAGCACATAGTGTTTATAACACAGTAGGCAGTGCTAGCACACAGTTCTAGGCATGTGGGGACACTGGTCAGCAGGCTGGCCTGGTGGGAGCACCCTAAGAAGATCCTGAGCCACTCAAAGGCACTGAGGTTGAGTGAGGTAGACAGAGGCACAAGAAGGCAAGAAGGTAACAAGAGCCAGAAGCAGAGAGGAACGTGTCTCTCATACCTGCCTGGGGCGAGACTGGGAACCTGTGAGCCCAGTAAGGGGCTCCTCACCCTTTTCCTGTGAATACCCTGAAGTGTGTTAAGAGGGGCTGACACTGCTCCAGCACCCGGAGTCCCTATATAAGCAAACAGAAGCCCAGCGCTGTGTGACCAACCTTAACCAGCCAGGAGCCACCAACCAGGGACTCTGCACTGCAGTGGCCCAAACAAGGCTGCTGCTCACTTTAGCCAGCTGGTTCCTTCCTTTCTTTGCTTCTCTTCACCCTGCCACAACCTCCTGTGCTCCTTCCGTGCAGCCCCAAACCATTTATGAACTGCAGCTGCCTGATTCATGACTCATTACCTGCTCAAATAGACTCCGATATTTTGATGTGCTTTGGTTTCCCTTTTAATCAACAGTTTAAGCAGTTCCAAGGGGAGGGCCATCCTCAAGAAGTGCTCCACTCAAAGAATTTTAGAGAGAATATGGTCTAAATCCAGCCCAAACAGCACATTTAATTCAGTTGTGAAAGGAATTATTTTGATTGTGACAAGATTTGATCTATGAATATATAAAGCAGTACCATCTTGCAAACCTAAGACCCAGGAACAAGAAAAGAGATTTGGAAAGAGTCTGAGAGTTTGTGGTTCTTTCCTGGACTCCAGTGTGCATTCCAGGTAAGAAGTGCCTCTGTTCTTCACTGTAATCCTCTTCCAGATGCCCCCTCAACTCCCGTGGCCTTCCCCTAGTACTTGAAAGCACACCAATGGGAAATTATGTAAAAGGGGGAAATCAAGCACTTCCTGAGAGATTTCCCAGCCCCAGGAACCAGGAGGAGGCCTGGGAACTCACTTCCAGGGGAGCTGGTACCTTCCAGGCAAGTCTGACTCCTGCTGATTGGCCTCATTCTAGAGATTTCGGCTGTCCTTTGCGGCAAGCTCCCCACGAGGACGCCTCTGAGGAGCAAGTAAGGGGCCCCCTTACTCCCAGTTCAGAAGAAGAGAGGCATACTGTACTGGGTTCCCGACTTTCCATAAATCCGCAAAAGGATCCCCAGAAAGCTACCCAGTGGCCCCAAGGTGATTCACATCATCAGCGGCAGCCATTCCATAAGTGGTAGCCTTGAATACGTGTGTGGGTTGGGGCTTTACATCACTTTTACTTCCTCGATGAGGCTGGCAATAACTTGAGGTGTGCATTCCACAAGCACACTACCGTGGAGACAGTAGCCTGTGGGGTTTCTCTCTGTCTTACAGATTTAGAGATCAGAAGGGAGGAAGTAGCAATAGATTGGAAAAACATCGAGAAACTCATCCCAGTGTGCTTGCTCAATCAATATTTGTTGATGATTAATCTGTGGGAAATATTCTACTTAGGCATAACTCACAAATAATCAAATACTGATTGTAGTGTAAACTTGCAAGGCTCTGACCTGAAGGCAGCATGCATTTGTGGATACATGAGCTGGTTTATCTATTAGTGTGTGATCTGGGGCACTTGATTTAAATTCTGTGCCTCAGTTTCTCCATCTGTAAGATCATAGACATTAATATCTACCTCACGAGAGTGAGATTTTAAAGCATCAGAATAGGGTTGAACACTAGTTCAATAAATACCTGCCATTGCCATAGTTAATATCGTTTTCATCCCCACAATCCCAGCTACTCCAGCACTTGCTTCTACAGGTTGTGTGATTGGGTCCTTCATGTGTGTTTTGGCTACCTGCCCTGCTAACCGCAGCTCCCTGCTTGTCACAGACACTCTCTGTCAATAATTAACTATGTCATTTTGCTTCAGTTTTCCTATTTTGAGATTGTAGAGTACTTCCCCCATGTCTGACTCAAATCAAGATCAAAAAAGATGTGTGAAACACATTCACAATGGGGCTGTCATTTGCGTGTCTCACTCTGACTCAGGTGGTTCTGATCTGGACTCCATCATCTGACGTTTAGTAGATGACCATGGTGGTTCAAGCTGGTGGGAGTGTGTTTAAGGTTGTGTCTACATGGCACCAGAAGGAGAAGCTGAGCTGGTGGTCACGTGTGGGTGTGACCAGCTCCACCTGGAAGGGGCCAGGCCTTGGCTTTATGTAGCCTGTACTGACACAGCTATAGTGATTTGCTCAAGGTTGCTTAAGAGCATGACGTTTTCTGAATCTTACCTTGGTGAGATGGGCCCACATAGGGCAACACAGCAATTTGTAAAGATATTTCCGTAGCTGTATGGATTGTAATTTTCTTTACCTCTTTTATTTGACCAAGATCCTTTAATCTGAAAGAAAAGGAGCAGCAATAACACAGTTATCCTTCATTCTGATGCCACTGTTTAGGCAAACCAGACCAGGAAACACTCCTGAGGAATGCACATAAACTTTACTCACTTCTCTGCATGGAAAAATTGAGATACCTTTCTAAAGGAAAATGGTCACTTTACCCCAAACTTGGAACTATCCCCAAACAGTGCCCTAAATTAGGGATAGAGTGACGGTCTCTGGAGACAATAATATTTGTTTGTACCACATGATACTAAAAAGTTCTGTTGGAGAACTTTTTTCATACTCACATCTAGTTCCCTAACCAGTAATTAAATGAATAGTAGCTAAAAAAGTTAATGTGACTCCCAAACTTGCCATTAGACTCTAAGAAGTCAGTCTCACATTCTAGCTAAAACAGCCAGTCTTGCAAACTCTACTATTCATAGTTAACACATCATATTAACTGTCTTAGTGATCTTTATCATATGCATTCGTATCAGCACCAATTTTTTTTAAGTTTTTGTTTAAGGTAACCTAACTTATTTTGAGGAATTTAATTAATGGAGACAGAAGTGTGGGTGCAGACTTCTGTTGAAATCCAAGAAATAAGAGCAATAAGGATATTTTCCAACACGATGATGCTGTGTTCACTGTTTTTCTACTTGCATTACATGAGTAGGGTAATTTCCTTCCAAATCTAAGACATTAAATCTGAAAGGCAAGTTCACTAACCTGACTACTCCAAGAGTACCCAGATTCTACTAGGGAAAGTATGATAAGTTGTTTCCAAAATTATTTAAGAGGAATAGAATCTTCTTTGGCCAGAGCTGGGAGTTACATTGCTAATTCTCTTATCTAACAGACATGGTTAGCCAGGCATGGTGACACATGCCTGTAATTCCAACATTCTGAGTGGAGTGGCTGAGGCAGGAGGATATCACGTTTGAGCCCAGTCTGGGAAATTCAGTTATTTAGCGAGACCTCTCAAAACTATTTTTTTTTTAAATGGGGCTGGGGATATAGCTTTCTGCAAAAGCCCTGGGTTCAATCCAAGTATCAGGAAGAAAAAAAAAAAAAAAAAGATTAGGAGGATGCAGTGACGTCCAAGAGGGATGTGTGGGATGACACATGATGTGCTTCCACTGCACACCTTCTGCCCCCAGGACTCTTATCTGGGGTGGGATGAGGGCAGGAAGTTGGTGCCTGAACTTTTCCTTCCTTTTCTCCTCCACTGCTAACCGTGGTGGAGCAGGAAACTTACATCTTCATTTGTGGTCTGGTTGGAGCTGATAAGGTACGTGTGGAAACCTGAGAGGCCAACGATGGACCAGACGGAGAAGAAGCACACCACGGCCTCCAGCACGGTGGCACCGAGTCAAGGAGGCAACTGGAGAGGAGGGTTCTTAGATCCACCAAGAGCAGCATGCCTGCAGATTGGGGGCCAAATGCCTGCAGACTGGTCCCGGATGTCTTGCCTCATTTCCCCTGTCCCAGCTATAGCAGTTTTCTCTCTAACCGAGGGAGATAGACCTTCAGGTCAGGGACCACGTCATATCCCTCTGTCATCTCCTCACAGAGGGGCATTTGTGGCTCTACAAATGACTGGTGGGCTCCCTGTATGCCACTTACTTTTTTGTGGTGGGCAACGTCCAGCTGTTCTCCCTATTCGATCTTCATTCCTGTGACTCACAGGGGAGTCCAGGCCCCCAAATCAGGAAGTGCACTGCTTTGAGCTGGAAGCAGCTCAGGCCTTTAATGCAAGATCTACATGGACGACAGATGTGACAAAAGTGTCTCTCCCCCTTAGGATAGCTTCTGAGGTCCAAAGTTTTTGGCATCAGTGGACCATCTGTTCTTGACTCAACAAGGAGGAGAGGGAGAAGGTGGAGGCCTCTGAACCGGGGAGCACTTCTCAGAGTGGCATTAGGGTGGAGAGACTGCTACTTAGGGAACTTTTTCCCAGCCCCTCAGCCGATCCCTGATATACAAGGCTGCTGGAAAATATGACACCCCCCCCCCAACTGCATTGAGGACAGCTGAGAAGTCAGGAGTCCCACATGATACCTTACCGCCAACAGAGAAACAGCTGGGCAAGGCTTGACAGATGAGACCAGTGCCTCAAAAGCGGGGCAATGGGAAAAGATGACAAAACTTTCCTCTCCCACAAATGTTTATAAGGTCTATTTACAAGATACAGATGTTTCTCAGGAAAAACCTCATTCATTGTGGGGTGGAGGTTTAAATACACATCTTGCATTCCCCTGTCAGTGAGTTACGGGGCAGGGAGCAGGGAGAGCCAACCCTTGTGCTTTCCTCTGGCTGTCAAGGATGAGACCCAGACCGATCAAACTGTGATATGTCACCATTGATTTTTCCAGGTTAGAGATAATTCATCTTTAGAGCAGAGTGCTCAACATAGTACCCAGTGCAGTGCCATAATCTGCCATAGTATGACTGACAAATGCTAATGTCCAGCTCATAAAATGGAAGAAAGAATGGCTCTTGTCTGTGGACTGTAAGCCACCGGGCTGCTCTTGGAGAAGCAGGTGGCTGGGAGGACCCAGAGAGGCAAGAGAGATGCACAGAAGCAATCCCGACCTGAGGCTGCCACAGGGCCATCCAGGTCTCTGCTTCTGCCAGGGTTAGCCTGGTGGGCAAATGACTGTGCTGGGATCATGTGTGTACATGGAGGCAAACAGATGTGGCACAGATGGCCTTTTGTCCATGGCTTTCCCACAGATCAAGGCTCACAGATGCCCCTGCTCCACGAGAGGGGGAGCCTGGGGAAGCAGGCCAGGTGGGATTCATATACTGTACTGTCTGGAAAGAAGAGGTGGAGGAGAGGAAAAGGATGAGATTGAGTCAGGGAAACTGAGTAATGATGCTAGTAATGAGTTTGCATGGGCTGGAAGGAAAAGACAAGAGAAAGATCAGAGAGGAAACAACAGACTGTCAAGAGAATAAAGAACAGAGCCAAAAATGCGTTCACTAAATAACACATGAGAGCCAAACTTCTGTCTCAGAAATATGTATGGGTCACCAAACCCATACAGGTAGAATGATGCTGATGTTGGAAGTAAAGTCAAAATAGAACTAATGTTCACGCATGTGAACTGTATAAAAACTGGCATGTAAAATGGGGAAGAATCACAGCAGGTTGTGGGGTTCCTGCCACAGATCTACCTACGATTGCTGCCTGCCTTAGAAGTCAGTGTGACCGGGGGATGGGAGAGTTTTAAAAGTTTATAGTAACAACTAAAAATGCAGCTTACTGTATTCATATCATGTCTGCTGCAGAAACAAGAGCAGGACGCAGTGCCACCGTGAGCTCACAGCTGTGGCAAAACAAGGGAAGACACAAGATACCTTTGCTGCTCCTGTCCCTAGCTATGGTCCCGTGAATCGTCATTGTAACAGTGGTCACCATCTCTAGTGATGTTATCCATGTTTCATAGGCACCACAAGCCTCAGAGCCATCCAGGGGAAAGTGTCACTCCCATTTCATAGATGGGGAAACAGGCAGAAAGCAGTGAAGTAAGTTGCCTAAAAAATAGAGCTGGAAGTTAGATGCTAGAAGTCTGTTATGCAAATGTAATACAAAAGTCTTGACCTGGTTCCTTTCCCAATTCTTGCCAAGAGGCAGTGGCCCTAGGCTAATCCCAGTCCCTGCTAGGGGAAACTGGTGATGCACTTGAGAGGGATTTGAGAACCTGTAAGTCAGCACCCCCATTCATTCTCAAGTATCCAAACACCACAACTTACCTACCCAGTGATTAGATATTGAAAATATCTATGCCATAATAAAACCAGGAAATATAAATCTCCCTGAAATGTATCAAAGCTTATTTATTTATTTTAAAAAGTAGAACCAACTCTACTGACAGCCATTTTCTTAGCAGATGATTATTGGTTTATCGCACTAGAGATGGGGTTCGAATTGAGGCAGTTGCCCCTGCCAGCCTCTCTCTAACACCCCTGTTCCCTAGGAAGATACTTTACAGGCAGGGGTGTTCCTGTTTGAACTCCCCACATCCGCTAGACAGTTTGTGCACTGAGATACTCGTTCAGTAGATGTTTACAGACTGACAAGGACTGGAAAGTGCTGGCACATCAGTACCCGTGGAGCCCTGGAAATTCCAGGAGTGCTGATGGGCACAGAGTCCAGTGCATGGCACAGAAGAGGGCAGAAAGGACCAGCTCCCTTCCCATAGGGAACAGGTCTCTGAAGCTCACAAAGGGACACTGAGAGGGGAGTTAGAAGGTTTTAGCATCTAGAGAATTATAAGAAAACAAAAGACCATGAACCACGTATCTTTAACCTTTGGGGGTACTTGCTATGTTTTCAGGAAAAAAAGCGTACAAAGGCAGAATTTCTTATAGTTTTAGGAAGGTTAAAACTCCTCCAAAGGCCATAGCCTTACCCCTTTAGATATGCATGAACCTTATGTATACGAGTTAACATGCCTAATTTATTCTGATCCCTTCATTGTATAGATAGAAGGCCCAGGGAGGTCAAGTCATTCATCAGAACCATTTGTGACCAAATGGAACTGAACTCATCTTCTGCATTCAAGGAGAGAAAGAACCTTTCCTAAGATCCGTCACAACCGCAGCACATGGCAGCCATAACACCATGGACCTCAATGTCCATAGGGGCAAGGTCGAGACTGCCAGTGACAGTGGACCTTGGTAAGCAGTCCTATGTCCACAGAGCCACCTCTCATGAAAAACTCATCTGTCTCAGGTCATCCTGCTTCTCCTCATATTGTAGCAATAAAGACAAGGGTGTTATTTTTTGCCAAATGCCAAATTCAGATAATATTTTTTAAAGTCTATGCCGTGTGGGCTTTCACATTCTTCTGCACAAAGAATCTTCTGCTTTAATGTCAAATATGACAAATAGCAAATATATACATACATATTTATATGGATATGTGTAGATTTATGTAATACACATAAACAAAATCTTTTTGGGGGTCTTCAATAATTTTAAAGTATAAAAGAATTCTGAGGGGGCAAAATATGAGAATTGTTGGAATAGAATAAAAAGCAGTCCTGGGACACATCACTGACATTTGGAAAAGATAAAGAATTTTAGCTTATACCACACCCAACAAAATTATATCAAAGATAAATTACTGTGCTATGTAAAGCATATAAAATATAATATAAAAATATTAAAAAGAATGAGATTTATATAATGTTGTGAAAATATTTCCAAGAAATATTTAAAAATAAAATTGTAAAGTCAGGTGTGGTGGCACACACCTGTAAAGCCAGCGCTTGGGAGACTGAGATGGAGGTTCATTGAAAGTTCGAGAGCAGCCTGGGCTACAAGGTAAGCTCAAGGCCAGCCTAAACCATATAGCAAGACCTCGTCTCAAAAAGACCAAAAATAATTAAATAAATAGAAACAATAAAATAAAATGAAATGAAATGGCAGAGCAACACAAAAGTAAGATCTTCTTTAGGTACCAGCAATTCCCTAACTGTGTGTAGGTATATGTGTGAGAACACACACACACACACACACACACACACACACACACATTCCAATTCTCTGGACCCCCCTGGTAGGACATAGAAAAAAAAAAAAAACTGACAAGGATTGATACAGAAGAATAGAGGGAGGATAATCACAACACTTTTTAAGCTGTGCTTTACTGACTATTGAAATTTTTTTCACAATGAGAATACATTCTTTCAAAATTTGGGTTATTTTAAAAGCCAAACAGCTTCCTCCCACTTTTTTTTATCTGATGAGATATAGTCTGATACTTATCCTTTATGAGAAGAAGACTCAGGCTAAGTGGTTAGGATTAGCAGGAAAGCACCTCATTTTCTGGGCAGAGCAGGGGTGGAGTTTGGAGGACGAGGCTTTTGTTTTGTGATACTTTGAAGTAACTTTTGGGACATCACGTAACCACTTTGCCTGGAGCAGCTGTAAAGAGTGCTAAGGACACCTATGCTGCCTATATTCTAGGGTCCCCTTGAGCATCAGCAGCTACAGTCCTGTGCTACTCTGGTCACTTTCCCAGGTGGCTGCATGGTGTCTTTCCTGTGGGCCCTGGAGCCAACTCTGAAAATTCTACTAAATTCCATTAAAACAACGCCCATTAGGCTGCTGAAGGGGTGTTACAATGAGTGCAAATTGGGGATAGAAGGGTTTTCTGTGGAAAGCCTCCACAAATGCAGAATCAATTACCATTTGATTTACCAACCACAGAAAATCCTTCTCATTTTGGGAGAGCTGAACAATAAGTCATGATTAAAAATGACTGTAATCTCTTTCATGGGATGTTAATGATATGTTACACTGGCTTGCTTGTGGGTGGCAGGAGTTCACCTTGCTGGGGTCTTCCTGGTGTATACCCAGGGTCCTGAGGCTTTCCTGGCATATGTGTACTGAGGTTCTCTACCTCTGAGAACTCCAGGAGCCTATGATGTGTCCCTATGTGACTTGACTGGTGCATCCTATCATTCCTAGCATCCTCATTCTCAGGCATGTGACATTTTCCCTCATTTGTTGTACACACAGGTAACTACAGGGGAGCCTCCAGTTGCTTTTGGCTGATGCAGATGTTCACTGTGTGTGTGATCTCTGAGGTTCTATCAGTGAACATATCTCAAACGGAACACACTGGGCTCCCCCATCCAGTGTTAGCTGTCTCCTCTTTATAGTGATCTCTCTCGTTGGTACCCTCAGAGGAACCCTCAGACTCAACTTTGTCTTCTCTTTGCCCTTATCCGTTCCTGTAGCGTGGGTCTACCGTTCTACCTCTCCCCATGGAGCTGGTCCTTGTCACTGATACCCATCTCAGGGGCCTTTCCTTTGCCAATTATTTCACTATTTCCCCAGGTTGTGCTCCCTGTCATAGCAAAACAACAGAAGTCCAGCTTTGATAATGCCACTTGCTTCCCCAAAACACTGTACCCGGTACCCCAGTGTCCAGGGTTCAGTCTTTGACAGTGTCATATACCCTTTCACCGCATCAGGGACTAGCCGTCACTGGGCCTTCCTGCTTCCCCATCACCTGTAATGTGCCTAAGTGCTCATGCCATTAGTGGCAGACCAGGAATCCTGACCCTTCCTGGCCCAGAAGCCTGCTGAGCATCCTGTACATCCTTGTTTAGAGAGTGGACATAACACTAGAGCTCAGAATTTTCCTTGACACATCCTTGCATCTTTCTCCAGGGCTGGCTCCAGATCCTAGGACTCTGCTAGAACCTAAGAAAAAGATAGCTAAGGGGGGCCAGACAGAGACAGGAGGGCTGGCCTGCCATGGAGCCTGCTTTCTGGATGAGACCTGAGGTATAAGATAACCAAGGAAACACCTGGGAAAAAGGGAGCTGCCTCTGGGACTAATGCATTTTATAAGTTAAATGCTAACACAGGACCAGGATGCCCTAAAACAATGGGAAAAGGAAACCAGGTAACTTAGCTTATCCACAGCAAGTCCCTGCCCATGTACTCGGTGGTCTTCTGCTACCCTTGGCTGACTCCAATACTAATTATGTCATTTTTATCCTCCTGTGCGCTTTGGATACCATGACAGTTCCTTCAAGGGCCATAAAAAAGGAAAAAAAAAATTACACTACCAATGGAGGGGCTGAGGCAAGCCACTCACTGACCAGTCATATTTTTCAGACCAAACTCTCAATCTCACCTAACACTAAGCCCTCTTGGTACTGTGAGTTCTTTCCACTGAAAAGATACCCAGTGCAGTGTATCTTTGTCTTTTCTCTTGTCTTCTCTCTTTTCTCTTTGATCTTGCTGTTCTTGGGCATCCTGCTCAATTCTTCGTTTTAGGACATCAGGAACTTAGACGAGATCTTCAACCCAATAACAAACCCATTATCTTCCAAAGCCCTGTGCAGGGGCCCAGGCTTTCCTGACTTCCCTGCAGCATCCCAGCCTCCTTCTGACTTCAAGCACAATCTGTCTTTTTTTTAAATGGCACCTAAGACTTACTCAGCTTTAAGACATCACATTTAAAGCTCAGATCTGGGCAAAAGCAGGTGCTCATGGAAAAGGAGGAAGAGGGCTTGCTGGGTTTTGTACCTCAGCTCATTCCCCCACCCCCACACCCCCACCCTCACTTGGATTGAATGCGCTGCAAATGTCTGTTGGCCTTTGCCTTGTAACTCACATATTTGGCATGGATGAGTGTTCAGGCATGTGATCTTGTAAGAAATAATAGCTGAGTGAATCTCTTTTGTTGGAACCTGCTTGTCTGGATAAATTGAGGACTCATTCTTTAGGAGAAAAATCTCTTTCTCTGGAGAAGGCTGGTGGCTCTCACAAAATTATGGTTGGGCAGCTGCCTCACTGTCTATGGTCATGACTCTGAAATCTCCCTACCATACTGGCTTTGCTGATGGAAGACAAAAAGGAGGCAGCTGAAGGCAATGGGAGGTGGAGGAAAGAAGAGGAGGAGAGGAGCGAGCCATGGGCTCTGTGACCAGAAAACAGCCTCCTTCCCAATAGCCCAGCATGTCTCCCTACTCTCACCACTGGCAGGGCCGCTGTGTAGACTGGGAAGGGGCTGGCTGAGTCCGTTCTACCCACAGCCGTCTGTGGCTTCCTTCTGCTCCCCAGCCTGCCACGCTCTAGTTCTGCATAGCATTTAGTCTTGATTTCTGTAGGAGCGGGTGTTTCTTTTCTCCTAAAGTCTTGTTGAGTTTTATGTGGGTGTGATGAAAAACTTGTGGTTTATCAACGTCTCCTTCATTTATGTAGCTACTTCTGATAAAGTGTCTTGGTTGTTTGTAAATCAGTTTTGTTTTGAATCTCTCTTCCTCAATGATACTGCTTTTTAGTTGGAGAGTAAATTCACCATAAGAAACCTTTGGCTGAGCCCTGTTTCCCATGAAAATATTTTTATACCATGGTCAAGAGACCAGATGTGAAGCCACTGAAAGTCTGAAATTACAAGTTATTTTCTTGTCCGAGAGCACTCTTCTGACGTCACTTGCAAAGGTTACGCTAGACTCAGTTCTGTGCTCAGGCAATTCAGCTCAGAAACTTTCTTTAGGGTGAGGAACTTAGAATTTTAAAGAACCCTGCTCTGGAAACTGAAAGTCTCCAGAAGCATTGCCATTGCCATCAGTCAAAGGACAGCTTTTGTGAGTATATAATGTCATAGATCAATCTTACCCATCATGCATTGATGACCAGCATGACTTTGTGTTGCAATTGATTCCCTGAAAGACCGAGACAAGCCTGACCTCAGGAAAGAAGACAAGGTTCGGCTTTAAGATATGCATAGAAACATCCCCTGGAAACAGGAGGCACAGAGCAGTGATGCTAATGAGGATATGGTCCCTGGGTGAGGTTGTAGAGAGGGACGAAGGATGACAGTTCTCAATGGGCCAATTCCTAGCGCAGATGAGACTATAGGCATTCCCTGGCCACCTGTTCTCCCAGCCAAATTCCAGCTAATGTCAGCTCCCCATATCATTAATAAAAGACAGGATATCTGTGGAACTTATTCTCCAAAGTTTTCTTTGTTCATCACTCCTACATTCCCAGACCCCTCCCACAATACAAACCGCATTAAAAATTTTTTAGTGGGGGCTGGGGATTTAGCTCAGCGGCATAAGCACCTACATTGCAAGCAGGCAGTGAGTTCGATCCCCGGTACCGATAAAAAGGAAAAAGACAAAAACAAAACAAAACAAAACAAAAAATATTTTAGTGGACTATAAAAGCTGGACTCATAACCAACATCATATGCTGTCCTTAAGCACAGAGGAACCAGAGATGAGATACTGTTCATTATGTGAATACACACAGAGTGACATTTGTCTTCAGGTCTGTCTAAATGCCTCCAATAGCAACTCATATATATATATATACACACACACATACACACATACCAATTTTCAGGGACATGGTCCATCTTACTTTAAAAGGTACGTGACATGCACATGTGGTAAAATTCTCCAGTACAAGATAAAATCACCTATGGTAATAGGAGTTCAAGTGAAGTTTACCAAGTTACATGAAAAGGAAGGAAAGCTAGGTCTCAAGGAATCAGGTCAGCAGGTTCAGCTGGCTGACTCCACACTCCTTAGGATAAATGGAGGCCTATTCAAGTTGGAGCTTATTCAAGCACTCAGTGGATGAACATTATTTTTCTAAAGATTCAAAATACTATGGCCTCGGGCTGGGGATTTAGCTCAATGGCATAAGCGCCTGCCTGGCAAGCGCGAAGTCATGAGTTCGATTCCCGGTACTGCAAAAAAAAAAAAAAAAAATAGTATGGCCCATACCAATTTAGCTCATTTGGGAGGAGGGAAAATAGTCCTCAGTGATCCAAATGACTTGAGATTAACCATCTGCAGACCCTTTAGGGGTGGGAAAGGGAGTTTTGTTTCTAGAGACAATACAGGCCACCTGCAATTCCCAAAGGAATGCCACCTTGCTCCCCAGGAGCAGTCTAACTGGATGCTCTGGGGAGTCTCCCCTGGCGGCTGCACACCGGGAAGCAGACCCATGCAGAGCATCCATGGGTTTTCTGTATGGCTATCTGCCTAGCAGAATGAGATCAGATGGCGTGCCCAGCCTCACTTCTCCCAACACAGGTCGATTTAACACAAATAAATGCTGGTTTCTGGGGGTGGGCAAAATTCACACTTGGCTTTCTTCAGGAAGAGCACTTCAATTTAGACAAGACTAGATGAGTCACCTAGAGATTTAAGTGTTCACATCCATTTTAACATGCAAGTGAATATTAGAGAGCCTTCAATGCTTTACAGAATGAAAAAGAATAAGATTTATGAGAAGAAAGGCCAAGGCCAAAGATAAGGAGGTAAGAATGTGGGTGTCAGTGAAATACAGAACACAGCAGCTCTGGACAAGTGGAAACACCAGAAAGGATATCTTGCAGGACTGTCCTTAAGGGCATTGAGGAATCCTGTTTGCTGTGAACCTGTGGGAATGAAATCAACATTTAGTGTCTGACAGTGATCTCCAGAATAAGCAGCCTCATGCTGAGAGCTCTCATCTACATAAAAATAATAGATGTCTAAAGATCAATTAAATAATTATATTTGGTAAGTGCTATGGCACCCAGTTTACTGATCAGAGATTGAGAATCCACTAAAGTTATTCAACAAGAAAATGTAGATTCATAATTAGACCCAACATCTGCAGGATATTTTTTCAATAAAAGCAGACAGATGTCTGCATACTTTCCCATAAATTATAGATCTGATTACTCCTTTTTTTTTAGATTAATAGGAAAACAAAATACTATATACCATTTTCCCTCCAAATTTAACTTATGACCGTAGAAATTGTATAATACAGTCTACATATAATACAGACTTCTTTCTCTGCACTCAGAGTAAACAAAGTTGTAAAGCTGAAGTTTATTACTGACTTTTCTTTGTTACCAGAAATCAAACTGCTGAGAAATATCCCCGGCCCTATTCCTGAATCTTTGTGGAATTAAGATGTTTTAATATGAGCTGTCTGAGCAAGAAAACATTTCCTTAGAAGCTGCAGTAAAGGAGCATTGATGAAAAGCATTTTTAAAAATGTATTGGCATCATACTTTTAAAAGGAAAACCCTATGCAGACAAGTCTTAAAAATTTCATATTGCGTCACAACATGAGGTCCCTCTGTACTGTATGAAGCTACTGTGCTTCAAGGGACAGAAGCCGGACCTCAGGCAGCAATGAAAAACTGGTCAAGACCACACTGGGGCTGCAGTACGCCAGTGCTCTCTAACTGGTGGGGCTACAAGATGGGAGTTAGGAAGTGACAGGGACCCAGGCCCCGCTGGGTAGCCAGAAAGCATGTGCCATTCTGGAAAGGTGACGGGTTCAGCTTCACATTTTTACCTAAGTTCCTTTCCATTTCATCCACTGCTCACACCAAGGCACACAGATGTACCAAGTGGATGTTACAGGTCATGGGCAAACACAATTTTGTGGCAAAATGATGAGATCCAAAGAAATTGATTTTTTTCTCTACTAAACTCACAATGTACTTTTTGCCTAAACTCTCCTTCCCCTATAAGCAAATCCAGACTTGACCTTCCGAGGAAGCCTGGGGGCCAGAATTTCTTCCACTCTCCCTGCACCACCCTACCCCCAAACTGGGCAGGAGAACCCAGGTGAAGCAGTCTAGCTGCCCTGAGGCAGCTCAACCTCCGCCAGGGTTTGCTGAGTCTTATGGGGACACAGGGACCATGTGAAGCCTCTGTCCTTCCTGAAAGCATCACGTGCCCAAGTGGGTGTTTTTTGGGGAGGGTTATTGGAGGGTTCAGAACAAAGGGAAAGAAAAAAACTTCATTTGCTTTTCTCTACAAAATTCAGATATTTTGCAGGCAGATCAGTTCCTAAATTTTGTACAGAGTAGATGGGTAGTATTTAAGACTAACCTGTAGTAATCTCCAGTTTTGCTGGATAGAGTGAGAGTAAGACTTCAGTGAAGGTGAAAATGAAACGTACTTTACAACCAGACTGTGGAGGCAAAGGGCGGACTTCAAATTGGGCAACGTGTGTGTGAGTGTGGGGTTAGGATCACAGGCAGGGGGCATGTAGGTGTGAGTGGATGTGGGTGTGTAAGAGTATCTGTGAGTCTGTGAGAGTGTGAAGTCACAGGAGTGTGGGTGAGGGTGTGTGTAAGACTGTGTGTGTGTGTGTGTGTGTGTGTTTTCCTGGAGTTTATATCATTGAGCAAGTAAAAATTGGCCCTAGATAATCAGAATGTAGGCCAAGGCCATAAATATAATTCAGTAGTATATACGAAGGCATTTTGAACCTGCCAAAGATGATGATGTAAGGCAAAATACCACCCTTTAGGGTTACATGTGTGCTGGAGTTGGTACTTATTTTCTGGTTATGTCAACAAATGCTTCTTTGAAAATAACATACAGTATTATGGGCCTCCTTCCTGCTTCTTTGTCTGTGAATTCACAGATAGGACCTTGGTTCTGTTTCTGCCAGGTTGGGACTCTGAAAATGGTGAGAAAGGCCTCTACAGAGCCATCCACAATACCTACTGACATGGAAGAGGACTCTAAGGAATGTAAACCATCTCTTGAAAGCCACTGCTATGACTTTCATGCATATATTATAAATTACAAGCTCAGGTCACATTTGTACAATAGGATCATGGCCTTAAAGAATGGGAACGAGGAGTGAAACTGTCGTTGAGAATTCGGATAGTTCGTTTAGTGTCCACACTGGACTAAGGTCCCTGAGACTGCATGGGAATCATTCAGTACTCCCAGACCCCAGCCCTCACACAGGCCCAGCCCAAGGAGGAGTGGAGGGGAGTCTCAGCCCGCTCCATTAGTGGGTCAGCACTACTGTGGCTGGGAAGGGAGGCCTCTGTTTAGATACTTCCAGAAACATGCCAGAGGGAAGCTGTGTACTTGGCAATGATAGTTGTCCTTCAGGAATGTGGACAAGAGGCAAGGCTGGCCTTTAATGTTGCTGGTGATACTCTAATGGAAGTTTAAGGGGTTATTCGATTTATAGTTCAAAGTCTATGGAATTCCTTCTCATCACTCACTATTGTAGGAAAGCAAATGACCAGGAAACAAAAGAAACTCCAAGGTATGACCTTCAGAAGGGGGAATGAAAAAACGCCATTTGTTTAGGCAAATATATTAAGATCATTTACATCTAAATCTAATTTTTAATAAAGTTATTTTCTTCATACGCTAGAGGTGGTTTGCTCATGTCATAACAGACAACCGAATACCTCATTAACTGTATATTTTTAACATCTAAAGATGTATATAAAAGAAAATCTAGTCTTTTTCCTTAGACATGTTTTCCCTAGGGAGGAGGACTTCCTGGATAAGTAGATGCACTAACAGCACAGGTTCTAGTGTCCAGTGGCTACCACTGTGTCCTCCGTGTAGAAGGTCGGGATGAGTTTTTTAGGGGATCCCTTAGCAGAAGTCACTGACATCGGAACGGGGAGAGGTGTTATTAGGGAAGAAGTCTTGTTAATGGAAACGAATCCTGGTCTAGGTGTGACCCCAGAAACTGCTGGAAGGATGGGACTGGAGCATGGGAAGGGATGAAGGGGGATGGAGGAGGTGAAAAATGGAGAGGGGAGGCAGGAAGTGAGGAGGGGAAACGGGAGAGAGGAGGAAGAGAAAGCCCGAAATGATTAAAATAGTAAATCAAAATTAAATCAGAAAACCAAGGTCAGGCAAATGGTTACATACATAATCTGATTTCGCCAGCATACTTACGAAGAATGACGTGGGTGATAACGAATGCAAATATAAAGACTGTCAGAAAAGACAGGGATAAAATAAACATATAAAAAAATCTGTAGTTTCTTTTCCCCACACAGTTGCCTACCCAGGGACAGTGGTGATCAAACCGTTCTGAAATGAGAGGCAGAAAAAAAATGGAAATCAATTAATAAAGTGTCTTTTTACTTGATGGAGCCCCTTCCCACATACTCTAATAACACATCAAATAATACAACAAAACAATATCATAGCACAGGTTTCCGAGTTAACTGCTCAAATGTGTATTCACAGTAATACATTTTAGGAATCTAATTGTTCTTTTAGCAGAACTCAGCTGTTTCAAAAAACTAGGTGCATCTACTCTTCACAAATGGTCACTGCAAGCAGGAATATAGATTCTCATTAGAATTACAAAGAAAGAGTTCCCTCCTTCTTGAAGGAAACCTCTGTGAAGTCACAGAGCAATCTTCCCTTCAGATGGTGCCAGCACAGTCTGATGGAAGTGTTGGGCTGGGCCAGGCTGGATGTGGCCCTGGGTGGCTGCCCAGTATAGTAAGTGGCCATGAAGAGAGGCCACGAGGGACCTGGGGAAGGACAGAGGAATAATCCTTTGTCTTTACATCTCAGTTACACATTTCACATAAGCTATTCATAAACATTAATGCATCTGACCTCCAAACATGCCTATGAAGAAAATGATGATGTGGTCCCATTTTACAGGCAAACAAACCGAGGCTTGAGAATAAAGAGACTGCAGACAGAGGGCAGCCAGCTCATAGGCAGTGGAACTAGCAATTGAGTCAATATTAGGGAAGCTGCTCCTTTTCCTGCTGTATTGGCTGCCTCCTGTACTCAGTAATGACAGAGTGCTGAGCTCTGGCATCAGTATGCCGTTACTCCATGGTACCTTAAGTGCAAACCCAAGGCCTGTGATGCATTTATGATTTGCTCTTCTCCTTGCAAGTGATGGCAAAGTGCTTCTCGTTCGTACTTAGTGGCTCTTCCATTCAGCAGCATCGCTCAGTGTCATTCTAACAGCTGCTCATATCAGGCTGCTTGCCGCGCCTCGGGGGAGGCAAATGCTCAGGATGTAACTTAGCTTTGTACTCACTTTCTACACGATTTTCATAGTTTCACTCTCTATTATGTGCTTTAAAAACACACAGAGAAAGCTCTATGGGGTGTGACTACAGAAATAAAACAAATAGATACGGGCAGTTGGTCTGCTTCATGACTCTCTAGTCGTGGGTCATAAAACCGCTCATCACATGCTGCATACTTGCTTTCTGAAAAAGGCTCAAGGACACCTGGATGAGGGTTGGTGGCACAGGAATCATAAGGGTATCTCTGTGGTCGCAGGTGTAACCAATCTGAGCAGAGGACATGGGGACAAATTTCAGAGCTCACTGACTTGGTGATATCCCAATGGCTCATAAGAAGCTGACACTCAACTGAAGTCATTACCGCTGGCCACGCATGTGAGTCACATGATAACACTGCCACCCAGCCGTGAGTACAAACAGCTTCCCCGGAGGTCAAAGGGAGGGTGAGGTAAATTCTCTGACGAACAGAGAATGTTTAGAGCAGCAGAAATACACTGGATAATGATAGATAATATCATTATGTATTTGTCTGAAGCCATAGAATGTACAAGGGCAAAACATGAGCCCCAGTGCAAACTATGGGCCTTGGATGATTCTAACATATCAATGTAGGACCAGCAACTGGAACAAATGTATCCCTGCTGGTGGGGCGGTGTTGAGAATGGGATAATGAGGAAGTAGCTCCTGGACTCTCCGTACCTTCCTCTCAATTTTGCTGTGAGCCTAAAACTACTCTAAAAATCAGAACCTTTACATCTTACACAATCTTTACTTTCCTGAGTCACTGATCTACAGTCTGTATGAGAGGGCCTCAAGAAGTACAAAAAGGAAAAAAAATCAGATCTCCTTACTTAAGATTTGAGCCTGCTATTTTGAGATAACCACTTTTCTTTAAATCCAACTAGAAAATGAGAATAAGAATGGACCCCCAGCAAGGCGGGTGCTGGGTGAGAATCTTCCTCCAGCCGTGCAGGGCACACAGGGCAGGGTGGGGAGTTTCACTGATACTAGGAAACTCCATGGAGGACCAAGTTCCTGTGTCTCTGCAGTTTATCTCCTGGCAGAGGCAGCGGCAGAGGCAGAGTACAAATAAGTGGCAGATGGTGGGGTGGTACCACCAGGGCCCTGGGAGCCACTTGGGAAACCATCACTCTATGAGGGGTGTGGATCCAGGCTCCTAACTGGAAGTTATTTCTATTTGGAAAATTGTTTGTGGGAAACTTTTTTCTTTTCTTTTCTTTTTTTATTTAAAGAAAAAAACTGCAAAACAGAAAAAAGGGTAGCAGTAATATGGAATTTCAAAAGAAATTAATGCTAAGAAATCAGTAGTTGATAAATTACATATTGCCATCTTAGAAATAGTTGTGCAAGTCCCGAAACTAAAACATAGAAACTGGACAATCAAACAGTGAGAGTACAAACCGTTCTGTTCAATGATCCAACAAAAAGTTGGTAATGTGAAAAAGAAAAAAAAAAAGAACGGGGCTGGGGATTTAGCTCAGTGGCATAAGTGCCTGCCTTGCAAGCACAGGGACAAGTGTGCGGTCCTGAGTTTGGTCCCCGGTCCCTCCCTCAAAATAAAACCAACTTAGTAACGTGGCTATCTATCTTACATTTAAACATACACATGTAGTTATATCCTTTAGAGCATGTGGAAAACTTTTTTTGGCTGGGAAAATCTCACAAAAACTGCAGGTGCGCTGGGCAATTCTTTTACCAGCCATGTCTCAGGTCCTGTTCTGCAGCTGGGTCATAGTGAGTAGTGGGCCTGAGGCTCGTGGGCCCCTCTGTGGGCCTAGTACGCATGGAGTCCAAGGCCCAGGAGAGCCTCCCCACCCATGGGATCATGGGCTCCTACCCTGGCTCCTGGCCTGGCTCCTGCTTTCCTCCTAGGCCAATGTTGGTGAGCAGCCCAGGGTTCAGTGTACCTTGTCCCTCACACAGCCTTCTCTCTTTTCTCCCAGCTAATGTCTTTTCATCCCAAGGGTCAGGTACCAACTGCATCTCAACATCATCATATGGCAGCCTTCCACCTTCAGCGACAGATACCTGCTGAGGAGGCCCTACTGGCATCCTAGACTGTCTTCCTTCCAGAGAGACTTCCTGTCTTCACCCAAACACCAGCCTCCCCAGACTTCCAGTTGCTCACTGTCCCACCCAGAACGCGAGGCACCATTTGGTCACAATATTCCTTTTCCCCCACATCCAACCCCTAAGTAAGCCCATCAGTTCTTGTCTTTATCCAAACTCATGTATGTTTTACTCATTTTTGTCTACTGAAACATTGATTGAGCTCTAAGCTGAATAACTCTTTGTCAAACAACTGAGTAAACCTATACACTACCAGGAGACATCTGCAAGAGTGTGGAGGTTGTCCAAAGACAGTCAGGTAAAGAATCACAAAATGGGAATGAGAGCCCAGGCCATCTCTCCCCAGACCCTAGGCTCCTGACCAGTAAGTGTCACACTCCCTTTACTGAGCTCCTGCTATGTACCCCGCACTGTCACAGATACTAGAGATACTAAGAAGAAATAAAAGCCACACAAGACTCCATGGCTTCAAAGAGTTTCTTACCTTATTTGGGGAGGACACTATTTTCAGGATCTGAAATATGTTTCAGATGCAAGAAACAAATTGCTAGTAACCCTAATTTAGCTTCTAAATCTGCCCTTTCCATCACCATTGTTGGCTGCGCACAACATTCTCACTCGGCAGGTCAAGGATAGAGCAGGCCACGGAAGCACAGTGGAAGCCTCGAGGTTGGCTGGCCATGTCCCACAGAGGGAGCGCTGCTCTGTGCCCTGAATGTGCTAAGAGGGGCAACGGGAAGCTGAGGTGCTGCAGGCATGGCTCTGAGTGGCCATTTCCAGGCCAGAAGAGTAGACAAGAATTGGGCACAAACTAGGCCGGGGAAAGAGCTGAAAGTGGCCACAGCTGACATACGACCTCGCTCCCAGGGACCCGACTGAAGCAGTCACTGGCTGGCAGGACAAACATTTGGAGGAGGGAAGGGGACCCCAACAGTCGGTAAGGCTAGCTGCAGGCAAAGAAGTTTCAAACAGCTGTTATTGGAGATTAGTTTGTGTTTTCTGTGTGGGAAAATGGAATCTGTGTCTCATGTGCTGAAGGTGGGTGAGTGTGATGGAAAGCTCTTTAAAAGAATATTTTCATGCTGGGGCACATTTATAATCCTAGCAACCAGAAGGCTGAGGCAGGAGGATCACTGTGCGTTTGAAGCTAGCCTGGGCTACACAGTGAGTTCAAACTACATAGTGAGACTCTTTCTCCAAATAACATAACATAAGCATTTTGGAGTTGTTGTCGTATCCTTTGATGCTGAGGTCTACATCTTGACAGCAGGAGTGGCTACTATACCACACACTTTCTGCAGGGAGGAGCTGCTAGTCAGGGCTGCTGAATGGAATACTGGAGAGAGGAAGCTGGAAATCCTAGAGTTCTCTAAATAACTATGTATGAGCTACCTTCCGTAGCAACATGCAGCCCTACAACAATCAGAGGGCTTGTTTTCCCCTGCTCCCGGATCGCTCTAGAGGGCAGGAGTTAACCTCATCGTACGGGCAGTGCAGATGCTGACAGCATCAAGTACAGGGGAAATGACTTCCACGGCCTTTTGTAGGTCTGTGAGTGATGGCTGTTCCTGGTGGCCTGGTGGAGGCAGTGGACAAAGCTGGTAACAGGTAAGATGTTGGCCATGCTGACCAAAGGGAAAGCAAGGTCCTTGTTATTGCACTGTGCTCAGAGAAGGTTAACAGCTGGAAGATACAGGTTCAAGGCTGGAGGAACAGGCTAAGAGGTGCCCGTGAACCAGGGAGGTAGGAGTGGTTTCATTCAAGTCTCCGAGGGCACCGTGGAAAGACCCAGGAGCTGTAGTGCAATCAAATAACCTATCTCAGATTCCCAAAGGGAGAGAAGGTGCCACAAAAATGGTCAGTGGGAACATAGTTCAGGAAAAGGAGATGTGGTCCTGTTCTGCTTACCTACATTTTATTAATGATTAAAGAAAGCTT